CTTAAAAAGGGAAATAAAAATTACAAAGTTAATGACTAAAGTATCTAATACCCGCTTACTATAAAAAAAAAAGGAAGGAGAAGTTGTAGTGTATGTAAACTACCATAAAAGTAATTAACATAGGGGAAAGCTGTAAATTGCTTCCCTTAACCATCAAACCCAAGACCTTTGGGTGATAGAATAGTTAATCTTCCGCTGGGTTACAAGAAACTTTATGTCTTAAGTTTGTACGGTTTATATTTTATATAAAAGTTGTAGTTGTACACACGATCACAACTTATTTATACGTGACTTTCGAGATTCTGGGGGGCCGGGGGCCCCCGAGACATGCTGTAGCTCCGCCCCTGGTTAAAATAGTGAACCAGTATATTCGGGGTGGTTTATCAGGTTTAATGTATAACTATTAAAAATGTTCGGCCAATCCCAACCCATCCAAGCAAAAAAGGCAGACAATGATTGTAATTGGTTTGATGGTTATACTGGTTTAGCCGCTGATCGTGTTCACTTCGTATAACAATGGTTATTTTGTTTGGAATGCTTTGTTTTATTTAAGGGTTATAACATTTTATACCTCTCTACTATTGCAAATTAACAAACATACCACTCTACTATATTTTTGCACAAACTTATCCATCATCTATCAAACGTAACGAACATGCCCTTCCGTCACTAACTCAGTCAAGTGACCATTAAAACATGAGAGAATTGACTACAGCATAATATAATTATTTCAGCAAAAACAAAAAAATAGGTAATTATTTAATATTTCTTTGATTATTGTTTTTTAACTTTCCTTAATCGTGAAACCCTTCCAATTCCTTCCATTGCTCTTTGCAAGGGGAACGGATCAGGTCAGTAACCTTATGGTGAGTAACTATGAGTAACCCGTCCACATCAGTATGACATCAGCATCCTCTCTCTCCTGAAAAGCCTTTAATTTTCCCCTCCTTAATCTTTGACGGACGATTTCTCACTCGTTTTAAATCGAAATTTAATTTTTTTTGCACAGTTAAATCAGATTAATTGTTCTCTTTAAAATTATATCCACTTTGATATATTTTTCGAACAAAAAAAATTGAGCCATTTTATACCAGTCTATACCATATGGTATTGACTGGTATTGAAATAAGAGCATACCTATGGTATTGACTGGTATTGAAATAAGAGCATACCTATGGTTTGAAAAGCGTACCATGGTGGTATGGCACAAACCAAAACTGTAGGATGGTTGAATACATGATAGTAGAAGTATATTAATTGTCATTTACGACTTTTAACATTGTATACCATAAGATACCATCTCGTACCACCCCATACCAGGGTGGTATTGTATGGTATTGTGTGGTATTTTTTTGTCTTGTAATTTGTTCATCCAGAAATTTGTAGATCCAATAGATCATGATGAACTTGTCCCTGCTGTGCAAACGTTTTCAAAAACGAATTAAAAACGAAGAAGATACCATATGGTATGCAGTTGGTACCGAGAGGCCAGAATTTTTTTTTCCTAAAAAAATATTCAAAATTGATCTCATTTTGTAGAGCACGATGAACTCGTTCCATCTGTGCAAAAAAAATTAAAATCCGAGTTAAAACAAAAAAGATATGAGTCAATTAAGAAAGTTAGTGAAAATAAAAATGACTTTTAATTCTCCATCTTTAGATCTAGATTTTCTAAATAAAGGATCCAGATTTGATTGATGGGTGCATAACCCATTTGCAAGTCGCAAAAACGTAGCCCTTTTCCCGCCAACGTCACACAATGACTCTTCTTCGATGGCGACCTTATCCTCCGACGGTAAGCTGAAGCGGTTCCAGGTTCGAGAAGGGGATTGGGTTGCTGCAGATGGCAGTTCCAGCTCGAATAAGGACGGCCGCCGACGATGTTACGGAGGTTGGAGTCGTGGAGGAGGTGGATGTGGCGGATGGTAGAGGAAGAGGAACCGTCAATTTCGACGAGTGACATACTCCGTCGGGCCGGGAAGAGGAACCGTCACTAGGCACGCCGGCGACCTTCTTCCTCCTCTCGTTGTCGAAGGGATGCCCGCAATTTGCCACCATCATCATCGCAGTTATCGGCTCTAGATTCAGCTTGATTCAATCGATGAATAAGAAGGGTAGTAGCTAGGGATTCTGTTTGGTAATTTGATAGGGTAGCGAAGCAAACATGGGGGAAAATATTAAATAATTCTTTCTAATTTCCTCACTCATAATAATTATATTAAAGAAAGGGTAATCTAGTCATTTCCCTCGTGTTTTAACGTCACTTGACGATAAGGTTTTCAAATCCCGTCATATTCCCGGTTGGGCCCTGTCCGACCTAAATCAGACTTTAAAATGGCCTCCAGAAAGGCCCCTGGTCCGACCCCTAAAGAGGGAGAAGAAGAGAGAGAATAAAAGAAGAGGAACGAAGGAAGGGAGATGGTGGATGGGTCATGGATATTAGGTAGATTTAAACTGTGGAAAATAAGTTTTTAATAGTTACACGTAATATAAATATCATTTCAGTTATTAAATCTTTAATTACTATCTTATTGTATATATATTTAGAAAACGTCTACAACGGCTCAAGTTGGCTGGACCCCGATTAGATCATTAAAACTCAAACCCCTTGCTTGACCGACTCAATGACTTAAACCGGTTTGACAACCTTGCTTGACGAAGATATTGATCGAAGGGCATGTTCGTTATGTTTTGATAGATAAGGGGCATGTTTGTGTAAAAAATTAGTAGAGGGGTATGTTTGTTAATTTGCAATAGTAGATGGTATAAAATGATATTAACCTTTAACCCTTTATTTAAATATAAATGTAGATTGGAAGTACATTTTCATCAAATATGTTTTTAAATTTGGGTTAATTGCATGGTTGGTCACTGAGATTACAAAAAGCGTTCATGTTTGGTCATTATAAATATTTAAATCTATTTTTGGTCACTAACTTTACAAAAACCGTTCATTTATGGTCACTCTCCGTTAGCTGACGTTAACGGCGTCCGTTAAGTGATGACGTGGCTAACGGATTTGCCTAATCAGCACTTTTTAACCCCAAAATTGACTGACATGACCCGCCACGTCATTTAAACCCGCCATGTCAGCTAAACCTAACCAAACCTCTACCCAAACCCGACCAGACCCGCTAACTAAACCAAACCAGACCCCCAAAATTGTTTGACTAAAACCCTAATCGCTCCATCCCGCGCAGCCTTCATCCCTTCCGTTTTTCTTCCTGGAGATTTTCAAGCTGCTCGGGAGATCGTAAAACGCCGTCGCATTGCCCGGCTCGGCGGTCCGGCACCTGTGCTTCATCATCCTGTTGTGGAAGACGATCTCCGACACGAATTGATCGGTCCAGAACCACGCCGGCGCCAAATCCTCCGGCACGATGCCGTAAACTCCCGCCGCCGCCTGCTGCCCGAACCCGTAATTGGCCAGCGAGTCGCACCGCGAGCTCCACGGGTTCAATTTCTCGCAATTCTCGATCAAGTCGGTGCTCAAGCTGCTCGGGAGATCGTAAACGTAGATGTACCCGTGCTCGCAGCGATGCGAGTAAGTCTCCTCGTCGACCGCCACGGCGGCGGCAGAGTCGGACCTTACTGCGACGGCGGACGCAATGATGACTGGCTCAGAGACAGCGGCGGCGGGACTGGGAGAAGACGGTAGGCGGCGGTGGAAGCCGTGGAAGTCGAAGGGGACGGAGCGGAGAGTGAGGAGGAGGATCCCAACTACCCTTCTTATGGACGCAGAGGAACAGTAACCCTAGAGTCCAATTCCCTAATTAGACTCTGTCGATGCTTCCACTCACCAATTCTCCGCCGCCGGAGTCCACCAAGATTAAAAAGCCCAAACTGGATGAGACAGTCGTGTTCACGGCTGGATCCGTAGGTAGAGACGCAAGAGGTCAATGCGGATGCTGCGAGATTGAGATTTGAGACAGTCGGAACATCGCGTGGCGTCGGTCGTAAAGCAAGCGGCGTTTTACGATCTCCCGAGCAGCTTGAAAATCTCCACGAAGAAAAACGGAAGGGATGAAGGCTGGCGGGATGGAGGCAGTCTTCGATTAGGGTTTTAGTCAAACAATTTTGGGGGTCTGGTTTGGTTTGGTTTAGTTAGCGGGTCTGTTCGGGTTTGGGTAGAGGTTTGGTTAGGTTTAGCTGACATGGCGGGTTTAAATGACGTGGCGGGTCGGGTCAGTCAATTTTGGGGTTAAAAAGTGCTGATTAGGCAAATCCGTCAGCCACGTCATCACTTAACAGACGCTGTTAACGGCAACTAACGGAGAGTGACCATAAATGAACGGTTTTTGTAAAGTTAGTGACCAAAAATAGATTTAAATATTTATGGTGACCAAACATGAACGCTTTTTGTAATCTCAGTGACCAACCATGCAATTAACCCTTTTAAATTTATTTAATGTTAATGATTTTTTATTTCATACATATTTTATTAAATCGATGTGTATAATAATCAATTCTACTCCGATCAAATTAGCATAAATATATTAACCGGTTTGAAAATCGTGTCGGAAACCAAGGTTGTCAAACCGGTTTAAGTCATTGATCCGGTCAAGCAAGGGGTTTGAAGTTTGATGGTCTGATCGGGGTTCGGCCGGTTTGAGCCGTTTTAGACGTTTTCTAAATATAGATACAAATAAGATAGTAATTAAAGATTTAATGACTTAAATAAAATTTATCTCACACATATTATTTTTCACAAAATAAATCTACCTAATCTCCATGATCCACCCACTATCTCTCTTCCTCCGTTCCTCTTCCTCTCTTCCCCTCTCTTCTTCTCTCTTTAGGAATCAGACCAAAGAGCATTCTAGAGGCCGTTTAGAAATCCGACTCAATTCGGACCAGGTCCAATCGAAGGTTCGATAGGAGTTTCACAACCTTGCAGGAAAGAGGAAACCAAACATTCAAGACGCTTCCGAATCTGCCTTTCGATATTTTCTTCCCCCCGCCACAGTAGCCCAAATTCAAACACTCAAGAAATTGGAAGGGGGGAAACCAAAACATGGAGAAGAGGCTCCGGTCGTCTCTCAACTCATCCGTCGAGGATTTCCTCTCCGCCGCCGTCATACTCTCTCTCAAATCCTGCAAGCCTTCCCTCAAGACGCTAGTCCATTCCATCTCGCCTTCTTCTCCGGCCTCCGCCACTCTCCCTCCTTCTCTCCGCCGCTCCATCTCCGATTCAATTTCCTCGTTCCAGAACCTTAGTCAACCCCCATCTTCGTCGCCGCCGCCTCATTCGCCTGACGCTGCCAAATCGCCTCCGTCCAAGCGGCCTCGCCGTTCCTCCCGGAAGTCCAGCTCCACCACTTCCCAGGTAAACGAGTTCGGTTCCTCCCACAATGAACCTAACATCGACCACGAGAAGCAACGGACGCTCGAGAGCGTTCAAGTTCTCGCTTACCTCACTTTCCTCTGCATTTCGCATCCCAAGAAGCCCTTTCCGGCCGCGGAACTGTTGCCGGCTGTCCAGCTTCTCCATGACAACTTGATTCTGTTCGAAACGGACTCCAATTTGCTGTCTGAGATATCGAATTTGTGCGAGGAGTGTTGGAAAGAGGAATTCCCGGGGAGAGAGCTACTCATCTCGCAGTCGCTGCCGTTCCTACTGTCCAGGTCGCTGAGACTGAAGAAGAAGGTGGATATCCACAGGATCTACCTTCTCCGCGAGGCGTTTGCTTTGTTCGATTTTGAGGATGAGAGCATCGAGGATTTGAAATTGTTGCTTATTCGGTGCTTTATTGCTCCTCTCTTTTTGAAAACTGAGGATGGGAAGAAGTTTCTTGCATTCGTGTTGGGATTGAGCAAGCAGGTGCTGAAGGAGGCTTTGGCCATGATGAAGTCGCAGATCTCGTTTGGAAGGAAGTCAATGTTGGAGGCGTATGGGGAGATTTTGTTTAGGGCTTGGAAAGGAGTTGGAGGGGAATTGAAGGATGAGATCGAGAGTGGATTTTTGCAGACTCTGATTGAGGGTGCTATACATGCGAGCTCTGGGCCATTGGCAGCTTCAATTAGGCGAGTTGTTGGTGGATTTGTTACTCAAAGGATCAGTGAAGGAGTTGAGAAGCTCCTTTTCAGGCTAGCCGAGCCTGTGATTTTCCGATCACTGCAGGTGAGTCATTTTCCCCCCTAGAACATAAGACTGAACTGATACGAGAAAACCGTTTATGGCTATCTAGCTAAATGATACTGATAGCATTGCCAACACAATCACGAGGGTAGAACCTAATCTCTTGATTACTTTGAGCTCTGTTTGTGTTCCATGTAACTCATATACTTCATGATTGGTTGAGCTGCATGACTGATACTTTTCAATCTACTAAGAAAGCTTCTCTATTCTTTGCACAGGTTGCGAATTCAAATGTTCGTCTTAATGCATTGCATTTGCTTTTGGATCTGTTTCCCCTTGAAGATCCTGATTCAAACAAAGAAGCTAAGGATTCACTGCTTGATAGACAGTGCTTTTTATTGGAGAGGTTGCTCGTGGATGAATGTCCAGGTCTGAGAGTGGTGGCAGTGGAAGGCTGCTGTCGTGTCCTCCATTTGTTTTGGGAAATCATACCCTCCTCAACAATCACAAAGATACTTACCAAAATTTTTGATGACATGACACATGATATTTGCAGCGAAGTTAGGGTTTCCACAGTAGATGGTATAGCTTATTTGCTTGGAAACCCTCAGTCTCATGAAATTCTCAAAGTTCTACTGCCCAGAATGGGACCCCTGATCTTGGATAATGTTGTTTCAATTCGCGTTGCTGTTTTGGATCTCCTCCTTGCTATAAACGATAGTCGGAAGTTCCAGTTTAATAAGGTAACCAGAACTTCCATAATACTTTATATCTGTGAATGTAACTACACCATGTTTCTTCACTTAACATCTTCATACTTGTTCCTAATTTCTCTTATCTGTGTTCTCTCTGAATTGCTTCCTATTGGCTAACATTGTCATGAACATCTAAAGGTGGTCGGTCTTGATGCTCTATTGTCAACTCTAGCAAATGATCAATCCCAAATAGCCCAGAAGATAACAAGACTACTTATCCCATCATACCTTCCCTCAAAAGTTAACAAAGAAGAAGCTTGTAGTCGTTGCATCACTCTCATAAAGAGGTCTCCCGTGGCTGGCGCAAGGTTTTGTGAATTTGCTGTATCAGAAGGGGCCTCACTAAAACATGCCATGGAGCTAGTCCAAGTATTGGTTAACTCTGTTCTCTCGCAAGATAAGGCTGAAAAGGATCAAGTTGAGGGCATGCTTGTGGCTTCTGCTCACCTTTGTAGAAGTGTAGTTAGTGAACAACGTTGTCAGACTACCCTTAAAGACTTCCTTTCCGGTGTTAATGCCAAGAGCTTGTTTGCTGCAGCATCAACTCCTCGTGCTCAATCTTCTGTCATCAGCATCTTCTCCATTGTGTCTCCAGAAGATGTGACTCAGCATGTTGAAGAGTGCATGCGCCTTATTACATGTAGTAGTGGAGTATCTCAGGATAAAGAAATGCAAACCCAAGTGAAGTCTGCTCACAATTTATTGATGTCTTGTGATGCCTTCGATCACATGTTCGGGTCTTTGACAAATATTTTGGAGAAAACAGCCTATCGTTGCCATGTTAAATTTGGGATTGAAATGTCAGTTAAGATGCCCAATGGGAAACGGAGAAAGGGTGAGTCAACGGTCAAGTCTTCAGCCAAGTGGAAACACATGAGAGGGAAAAAGGCATCCAGTTTCGAGGAGGATTATTCTATTGCTGTGGCAGTAGCTTGGCAGCTGAAAGAGTTGCTTGCTGTTGTGGATGGCCAAAAGGCTGTCTTAGGGTCTCAAGATCTAGAGCAGGCATTTCTTGCTTTAAAGGATATTTCAGAGGCCACCATATTGCAGGCAGCATGCTGTGATTACATGGATGCTGAACCTGTTTTAGCATATATGGCACTCTCCTTGCATAAAACTCTTCAAAGCTTAATCACAAGAGGTACAGGTGATAGTTCAGTTTCAACATCAGAGGTGAGAATTATTTTTGTCTTTTGGGTATCTCCTCCCGAATGATTGGATTGCTTAAAGAATAATGTATAGTGTTCCTTTTTCTAGCAAAATTATTCTGTTTTACTTGGAACTTGTATCTTGAAGGTGCTATTGCTTCTACGAGTCGTTTGCATGCTATATTTGGATGAGTCATTTGATGTCAAATGACTCGTTTACTAACGAAAAACAAAACGAGTCATTTGCTATATTGGAAAGTAGTGACGAAAAACTGAGTCGTTTGCAAATAATTGGGAGGTGGGCAGCTTTGTGGGAGAAGAGTCAGTGACGTTCCAATTTTATATTTTGTCGTCATAATTCCTATTCTTTCCAATTATTTTCGAACAATATTGTCAATTATTTTCTATTAATGTTTTGTAATTATTTCTAGTGAAATAATTGTTACTATTCTTAAAGACTGGTTTTCAAATATAGATTATGTTTTGCTTGTAAAATAAATACTTTGTATTGTTACATTTTGTGAAGCATATTACAGGTAAGTGCTAAATGGTAGAATTATACAAATAACTCATTGAAAAATGACCCATCTAAAAACTTATTAACAAACAACACATTTGGAAATGTCTAAATTGTCAAATATCTACATTTTTCCAAATGTCTATATTAGATCAAATGTCTACTTTGTCAAATATCTATATTTGCCAACACAACCTCCTAATTCTCTCCTTTTTTCTGGGTAGAAGTTTGTTTTCTTACGCATTATTCCTTTGATTACTTTCAGAAGTCTGTACTGGACGAGACAGTGGACCACATTCTTTACTGCATCGAGCGGCTTCTTGGAGAATCAACTGATTCAAGATCAGACTCCGTCAACAGAAAAGCTGATAGTAATGGGAAGAGACAAAGGGAGCGTCAAGCAGATGTGTCTATATCAAACAATGATGGTAAGGCATCAGCTACTCATATATCATCCTTCAATCAAATTATAAATCCTTCGTTCTGTATCAGTAGCAGTGGACTCTTGTTAGTCTGCTTCATTCCCACTTTTTGCTTGACCTGTTTTTTCTTCCACGTATTCTTTTCGAATTTGAGCATTTATTGCAGAATTGGCGAGTGCTAAGGTGACAAGAATGGCAAATAAGGTGAAGATGCAGACTGCATTACTCAAGTTCATCACTGACTGCATTGCGATGGACTTTCTTTCTCAGATCCACCGAAGGTGCTTAACATTCGCATCGATCTACCTAAAAGATGTCGTGTCCACTTTTGGTCAACAACAACCGAATGAAAATTTCTCGACCTCCAATTTGTCAAAAGACATCTTTACTTGTCTGAAGAGTTCGTTCAGTTATGCTGCCAAGTTGCTCAATCTCATTCTCAATGCAGCTACCAGCAATGAAGCTTCACAAGAGGCTTTCGAACTCACAAACACAATGTTCGATCTAATTATATGTGTTGAAGCACACTTCGGTTCTCGTGCTGCATCATCCCTTGTTGCAGCAGCAGCGAAGCCTTGGTTGCCTGATCTAGCTCTTGCGTTAGGGTCTGGAACCTTACTCAGAAAGAGGGAAGAAGAAATTGCAACTTCCAGTGAATTACTGCATATGAAGCTCCATTTTCCATCGTGGCTACACATGCTAGCGAAGGTTGAGCTGCATCAAATGAGTAAGAGGAGCTCCGAGGAGCCGGGGGAAGAAGGTGGTAACATTTCAGAAGAGCCTGGGGAATTATTGCCTACATTTGGAAGATTCATGGATATGATGGTGACATTGTTGAGAGCAAACAGAACTGTAATGGATGCGGTTGGGATGATTTTCTTGACAGGAGCAGTGGTTGGATTGGAAAGAAGGGATTTCGGATTGGTGCTGGGGATGCTCCACTTTGTTTGCGTGAAGTTGGTGGAAGAAGATAGAGAATGGAGTCAACTTGATGCAATGTTGACTTCCCTCCCCGAGATATTCCCGATAATCGAGAGACAGGTTGAAGAAGAACAAAATGAGGAAGAGGCAAGGAAAGAATTGGAGAAGGCCAAAGCATTGCTTGAACCTGTTTGGTTGTACCATGTTTATGAAACTGGTAAGTTCTGTGATGCTGAGGATTTGGAATAGAGGATTCTGCCATGAACAATATTAGGATAAGGAGATGTTTTAGATGATGATCCTAGCTTAGGACTGAGTCTGTCTGCGTTGGGGCTACTAACTCTGCTATTATCTCAGATAGCTTAATTTTGTTGTGAACAGAAATTCTGCATTTCTTATACCAATGTGTCTCAAGTACAAGCTCATCAAAATAAAGAGGCTAAAAAAATCAAAGTGCTCTGCTAAAAAAGGAAACAAACAATCAAACGTTCATACTCCATTAGTCAAACCTGGTAAACTTGGACCCTACTAAGAATCATATATAGAGGAGTTTCCCTGTTACTTGGACTATGCGCCACCAAGAAGTTTCCCTTTAGGACTAAACTACATCATCAACATATTACCTTTGTTCTCAAAATTGCAATTCAAGAGACAGCCCCTCTCATCTCTTGACTTCACATTGTTTCAAACGGGAACTAGTTTCAAGATAGCAGCAATCGGCATGCCAATGAACCCGATCAAAACACAGGCTCCCCACTGATGTGACGTCAGATGTGTCGTGTTAGCAAACGTTCCTAGAAACTCGATAATTATGATCTGGAAGGCTACAGTAGCAACCAGAACCATGACAAAGACATAGTTGTTCAACATGCCTTTGAACACGTTGATCGACTCCATCTCACGAGAACTTATCTCATTGAAAACCTGAAATCCATTTGAAAAAATATAGACCATAGGATCATTTAACTACTTTATTTGGGTGGCGTGGTAGACATCAAAGAACTAGTTTGTTTAAGATTTTCCCTCACCTGACAGAAGACGAAGGAGTTGAAAATGATAGTGTTGAGAACTAGATCAGAATCGGAGCCTTCGAGCTCAAACATTGATTTCCCAGATGCTTGGAGCTTCCATATTATTAAGAACTGGTAAAAGGATTGGCCTAAGATGTTTCTCCACATCACATTAGTAATGAAATGGCCTTTCCTTCCAACTGGTGGCCGTTTCATCAATGCATTGTTGGGTGGCTCTGTTGCCAGTGCAAGAGCTCCTAATGTGTCCATTATCATATTTACCCACAATAATTGGACAGCTGTTAGGGGTGCACTTCCTGGAAAATTAAAGCGTAGTTTCCATAGTGAGATTTCTGTATTGACCACAAACAAGTTATCTACTCTAAGAAAATGATCATTGTGAATGTTATATTAGGGTTTATTTCTTGTTTACCTGTCATGCAAGCTGAAGAGAAGTTAACTACCAAGGCAACCACGTTAACCGTGAGTTGGAACTGCACAAATTTTTGTATGTTTATGTAAACTGAACGCCCCCATTTGGCCACTGTCACGATCGTTGAGAAGTTATCATCAAGGATTATTACATCAGCACTCTCTTTAGCCACCTGAACTTGTCAAAATCACGAGGTCAGACTCTCTCAAAGATTCGTCTGATTTCATTCATAATAGTAATTTGTTGGTTACAGTTAAAACGCATATCAAATCGCATAAAACTCACCTCAGTTCCAGCTATGCCCATTGCAAGACCAATATCAGCTTCATGAAGTGCTGGAGCATCATTTGTTCCATCCCCAGTCACAGCAACTACATCATCAAATGTGGTTCTCAAATGCTTCACCAGTGTGTGCTTGTCAAGAGGTGAAGATCGCGCCATTACCTTCAACACAATGACCTTTATTCAAACCTATTTTTACCAAAACCCAAAGGCAATTCTTTTTCTTCTTCTTTTCATTGTCGAGTTAAGGATTGTATTATATGTAGACACACCATACCTGAATCTTGGGAATAAGTTCGAGCAACTCGGCCTGACTTTTTTCCCTGAAAACTGGGCCTTCTATAGCTACACCGTCACTAGTGAGAATCCCACACTCTCTCGCTATCGCTTTAGCAGTGTTAATGTTATCTCCCGTAACCATTCTAACAGCAATACCAGCTGCATGACAAACTGCAACAGATTCCTTCACCCCTGGCCTTACTGGATCCTTAATTCCCACGATTCCAATGCACGTATACCCAGACTCTGGGATAAGATCGTTAGGCGAAAACCCACCTTGCACTTCCTTGTATGCCAAACATAGAGTTCTTAGGGCCTCACTAGCAAACTGATCAATCGTAGCCTGGAGAAATTTTAGAGATGAATCATCCAAAGCCACAACTTCACCTTTCGAATTGATAACCTTCTCACAGGAGGCCAACACTATTTCCGAGGCTCCCTTTGAATGAGCTCTCAACCTTCCACCGTCTACAGGAAGCTCCACGACTGCCCCCATCCTCTTTTTGGTTGAGTTGAAAGGCTCGAGCTTAACAAGCTTCACTGCTTCTCTCTCTGCCTGGAAGTCCCCACCTAGGGACAAACCAAACTCGAGTATCGCCGCCTCAGTAGGAGTCCCCAAAATCTCACGTTTCCCTTCTTTACTCATCACAACTTCACCACCAGTGTTGTTGAATATCGATTGAAGCAACAACTTGAGAGCTGAATCATGGAGCTCGGATTTCATGTTGGCGAACTTACTCGGGTTCCCAACTTCACGAACACTCATACAAATGCACGATTTCACAACGGTCATGTGATTCGTTGTCAAGGTTCCAGTTTTGTCACTGCAAATGGTTGTAGCGGATCCCATCGTCTCACAAGCTGCAAGGTGCCTAACGAGTGCTTTGTCATTCATCATTTTCTTCATGGCGAATGCAAGGCTTAAAGTCACCGCAAGCGGTAACCCCTCTGGAACCGCGACGACAACAATCGTGACGGCAATGGCAAAGTACTCGAGCATCTCCATTGCTTCTTCAGCACTCCAATCCACGTGACTTCCATCCTTCCACTTCCTAACAACAAGTCCTTGTACTAAAACTGCAAACGTGATGACAGCAAAAAAGAGCCCAATTTTGCCAATAATGGTTGCTACTCCATTTAGTTTCACCTGCAATGGCGTCTCATCATCACCTCCTTCACTCAGAGTCGCCATTAGTTTCCCCCATTGAGTTCTCATCCCAACAGTTGTAATCAGCATCTTGCAGGAGCCATCTTGAACTTTGGTTCCAGAGAGCAAAAAGGGGGTTTCAGCACCCACCATAACTGGCTCGCTTTCACCGGTTAAGCTAGATTCATCAATCAAAACAGAGAAGCCCGAAACAAAAAGGCCATCTGCTGGGACTTGATCTCCAATGGCGAGATGAACAATATCGCCAGGAAGTAATTCATAGATGGACATTTTCTGCCTGAACCCATTTCTTGTAACCTGGATGCTTATCTTCTTCTTCTCTTTGTCCAAATCCTTGAACTGTAAGGACTGGCGGTAGTCGCTTGTTGCTGTTACGAACACAACTAACATTATACTTGCAACAATGCCAAGCCCGTCATGGGCTCCCTTAGGCCATCCTTCTGTAGCTATCCCAACAATTAAGGATACAAAAGCACACACTGCAAGTATCATGAGGGTCATGTCATGAAGGGCTTCCCAAACGAATACCCAGAAACTCTTAGATTCACTTTCAGCGAACTTGTTGATTCCAAAGAGCTCTTGTCTGCGGTTCAATGCATCCGCATCTTTAGGGAGGCCGTCATTTGTAGAAGTGCAAAGCTTTTGGGCTATCCCATTCACTCCTCCATGGAAGCGTAGCTTTTTCACGTCATGGCCTTCAACGATGGATCCCAACTCATCAGCACAAATGTCGAATCCAGCTGCTTTCACTTCGGGAGGTACAGTGTAGTCACTTGGGGATACACCTGTAAAAAATTTCCATCAATATTTGTTGGCAAAACATCTAATTAATCAGTTAAAATCAAAGTATTTTTCATTTTGTTGGGGGTGGGGGGAATCCAACTCACTGGAGATGAATTGAAATGCGGCTTTAGATACAAGAACTGCAATCCTTAACTTCTCCTGAAAAATCCATGGCATAAAGATAATAAGACTCTTAATCGATAAATTAGTTTTATTATGCCTAAGGATTGAAAAGCAGTGTGCACGTAAGGGAACATATCATATTGTATTAATGATCCGGTCAGGCCTTTTCCATCATAAGTAGGGCTGCCAGTTTGGTTTGGTTAACCAAACCATTAAGTATGAGTAACTAATCAAAATCAAACCAGACAAATTTCAAAAATCAAAATTAAAATCGTTAAGGGTTTGGCAGTTATTAGTTAAGCAAAATTTATAAGACCCTTTAACGTTTTTGTTTGGTTTGGATAAACCAAAAAACCAAAACACAAACCCTTGGTTTGGGAAGTTAGAAAAGACAAAAAGACACACGAATATAGGAAATAAGTCTACTATACATAAGTTGGTGACAATGCGTATTGTTGATGAGTTTGAACTTAGTTAGGACCTTATCAGTTATTTATTGATTTTTGGTTTAAATTGAAACCAAACCATTAAGACGCTAAATCGTTTAAAGCAAAATTCAAAATTGTTAAACTTTTTATCGGTTTGGTATATGTTAAAACCAGAAAAAACCAAAACTAAATTGACAACCATAGTCATGATGGTCTGAACTTTGAATTTTTAAGGTTTAAAAAATATATTTATAAAATTATAAAAAATGTTATTAATTGTTTTTCATCTAATAAGACTAACCACAATACATTTAGGACATGTAATTCGTGTTTTGTTTTACGAGTAATACAAATATTCACTTAACATAACATGTATGTTCACAATACTAGATCATGGTACGACCTATTGGACAGGTAATTTTAATATTATTGTATATGTACACTAAAGATTGAGGTAAAAATGCTAGATGTACACTAAAGATTGTATGTAACACATATTGTATATGTGTTACAATGATTTTTATATAAAACTGGCATGTTAAGAATATTTACAAAATGTATTCAAGAAGAGTATTCACAACGGTTGTTAAGACTATTTACAACACTTGTTAAGTGTATTCAATGTGAATATTCCAACTATGTTGTATGAATATTTCAAATGTGTTGTATGAATATGTCACATTTGAATAAAAATATGCGAGTCCACTTACAAATATACATAAAAAGATGTGTCTAATACATATCAAGATTGATATAATTAGATAAAAAATAAATTAAGAGTATTTTATCTACAAACGTTTAAGAAAGATCCATGTTATGAGCCTAAAATTCTGAAAAGAGAAAAAGTTACTTTCAACATGTCCTTCCAATATCATCTATAAGGAGGATAACAAATTTGAGCAAATTTTTTAAAGTTAACATTCATCACTAGAACGACAGGAAAACACAACGTAAAAAAAAAAAAGAACTACAAAAGAATGTTTTTCGAAATAGGTCATCACTATACCACTTCCACTAAGGGAATATTGGTCATCGATGAAGTGAACAATCCTGTCATTAGAATAGGATTACTGATAGTTGAGGACGATCGATCTTTTCCTACTTGATATTTTATTTGTTTGTGGCAAATATGTGAATTTGATTGATAATTGTGCTTTTTTAACGCATGGCCTCTAGTTCTACTTTCGCCAATGACCGCATGGTTATTCGTGAAGTATAGACCCTCGTCACTAAATCGTGACCAATGACTATGGATGACCATTAGTTCTTTTTTTTTTTCCGGGAATTTTATTTGTAATTAACTGGG